TAAAATTTCCCCTTTTGTGACAGGTGTGTATTGTTTCCTCTTCCCGTAGATCTGACAGAAACATCTTTGGCCCTCGGTGTCTGGACATAGGAGGTATGCATTACTCACACAATTAACTGCTTCTAATCATCAGTGTCTTCGAGCCTCCATTTAGGGTTATATTAGTGCAAAATGAATGGGTATGGAGTCGTAAACCTCGAAACAGAAACCAGCGTTTCCTACACATGATTCTAAACTGAACGAGGAGAACATTTGTGTGTGTAATGACTATTTTAGATCTGTGAGTCAGAAGTTAGAATTTTGAAATGCAGAAACGTTAAATATTATTGCAAAAATGAACACTGTTTTCTAAAAGCTTTGTGGCTAAAGAAAAGGTTTTCTGATTTGATTGTCTTTTGAAGGGTGATCACACAGTAAAAATGTTCTACCTTTGCTTAGAACTCAGACTCTGTACCAAGGCACATGTTTCGCTGGAATATAAGTGGCATTCTTTTCTCAAGAGGCTTGTTGCCTGGCTGAATAGGCTACAGTTGCCAAAATAAATGTATGTGGGCATCCCATTCAGGTTTAGCAACGCTTTTTAAAGGCAAATCTGTTCCTGGAAGTTGTTAGAAATAGTAAGCCTATTGAGCCCTGGCCAGTGTCGCTCAGTTGGTTGAAATAGTAAGCCTATTAATAATTGTTTTGGAAATTTACTTTTGCTACTATCCTTGGTTTTGCATTATCCGCCATTAGACACCCCCCCCCCCCCCCCCCAGCATTAGATTGTTAAGTGATATTTTTTAAACATTGTTACAACCACAAAGCTTGTTTGGGGTCAAGGGATTGGGTAGGAAAAGTGATGATACTGTTTGGTTGTCTCAATTTATAAGTACACTTAGTACAGTTATAAATAAATAACAATATTAAGTAGTAGTTTATTCTGAAAATAAAGTTGAGATTTTTCAATTTGATGCAGTGTTCAAATAATGTAGTAGGAGGGCTGATTTCTTTGTCCAGGACAATCAGGAAGACTTATTTGGGGTACCTCTGGTACTTAAAAATTTAATTTACAATCTATAATAGTAAAAGCATAATATGCTCATTAGACCAGATGACCTTCCGGATGGCCTTCTGGATGACCTTCCAGACTAAGCCACGGCGCCAAGGCAGAGGCAGCTGCCTCAGCAGCGGGGCCTGAGCCCCTTGCACAAATTTTGGAGTCGTAAACCTCGAAACAAACCGGTATTTCCTGCACATGATTCTGAACTGAACGAGGAGAACATTTGTGTGTGTAATGACCATTTTAGATCTATGAGTCAGAATTTTAAGTTAGAATTTTAAAATGCAGAAACGTTAAATATTATTGCAAATTTTGTGCATCGGGCCTCTAGTTGGTTTGATAAGTTTCTACAGAGGAAAATAATTTTATAGTAGTTAAAGCAAAGCCGGGATGTCTAAACAGTATCTTCTGATGAATTTTCTATTTGGTTCTGGCTTATTAGATATTAGAGCTAAAATACTTCTGTTGGTTTAGTTAGCCATTAATAGTTAATCTCATTTAGGTAGCATCAGTTTCCCATCTATGTCATGTTTCAAGAATGAATTCTTACGTGGATAATAAGTGTGTGTTGGCAGCCCTAACCGGTTTGGCTTAGTGGGTAGAACATCGGCCTGCAGACTGAAGGGTCCCAGGTTCGATTTCGGTCAAGGGCATGTACCTTGGTTGCGGGCATATCCCCAGTAGGGAGTGTGCAGGAGGCAGCTGATCGATGTTTCTCATCGATGTTTCTAACTCTCTATCCCTCTCCCTTCCTCTCTGTAAAAAAAAATCAATAAAATATATTAAAAAAAATAACTGTGTGTTTGCAGCTATAGCATTTTGTAGTACAGAAAGCATGGACTTGGGAATCAGACCTGAATTTTATTTCTGACTTTCTTAGCTAGTTGTTTGACTTTGACCAGTGCTACTATATTGAGATACTTATTGAGTAAGCTTACTATATTCTATGTTTTGAATTATACACTTGACATGAAGTGTCTCACTTAAACTCCATTTTACAGAAGAGGAAACATGTTCTGTAAAACATGTTTTACAGAAGAGATGTTAGGTTGCCCAGAGTCACATACACTTAACCTGGTAAACCCAGTACTAGAAACCCTGGTCACCTACAGTAACAGAGCTAGGATTCTGGCTGTCTCCAAAGTCCCTTATACTCTAAGTTGCTTAACTTCTCTGTTTTTCTTATTCCTTTATTTTTTAGTTAACAAAGAATACTTATACCTCCGAGTTTTGAGGATTAGCTGAGGACATAATGTAAAGAAAGCAATACTGTTCCTGTCACATAATATATAGTAGTTCCTTTCTCTCTTCCATTCCATTCACTTCATCAAGATGTACTTGTATACCATGGTGATTTTGCAACCACTGTAAATACAAGGTCTTAAAATGTGAATATACTTTATTCCTAAGATTTATAGCAGTTCTAAGAAATGGGTTATGGTCAGATATGGGGGCATCCTCTGCAAGTTTGTCTTTATTCTGTATTTTTTCCCAGTGGTCTGGGTGGTGGTGGTGGAAATAAGAACTTTAAGGTGGAAATAACAACAAGGTGATTGTTAATTTCTAAAATCTTGGAAGACAAATAGAATTTCAAAATTAATCTTGATTGCTTGGTTTATCTAAAGCTGGATTCTGTTCATGGGTATAATTGGTAACCTAAACTAACTATATAAGTACTAAGTGAGAGACCTTGTGAAGGGGCCATAAATTGGACAGCACTCATAAAATTTTTGAAACAATTGACAGTGGTGAGCTAAAAGAGGATATACAGTGGTGAGCTTAAAGAGGATATGCAGTGTCTGATGTCTGTGTGATACATTATTAGACTGTTGGTTCCAGGGATTCAAACATATTCTGAATATGCCAGTTAGCTCCTTTGGTTAAATCCAGATAAGAGATAGCTGATGGGCCTTGACTGGTGTGGTTTAGTGATTAGAGCATCCCCCCTGGACCATACTTGGGTTGCATGTTCTCTTCCCTGCCCCTTGGTCAGGGCTTGTGCAGGAGGTGTCCCTCTCCCTACACCTCTCTCCCTCCCTCCCTTCCACTCTCTGAAAAGCAGTGGACAAAAAGAGATAGCTGATAGGATTTAGTTTTTTGTTTTAGAGCATAGTTTGTCTGTTTGAAATGAAACCAACTGGCCTACCAAGAGAGTAAATCTGTAGTCATCAAAAAACCATGTTCTAATTAACTATCCTGGCCTGTGCAGGAAACATGCAAGAGGCAGGAAGTAATTATTAGAGTCTCACTTGGGTTTTGTTGATCTTCATATTTTGAGAGTAAAGAAATAAGGGAGGATCAGAATTGGGGCACATATTTTGAGATTTAGGTAAAAAAGTAAAAGGTTCTGGGCATATTTAACCTGGAGAAAAACTGGTGGCATTTTATAAGGTAGAATGTCCTGAAGTTAACGGTAATAAGTAATTATAAAAGTTATGAGTTGGAAACATTTGTATTAGTAAGATTAAAAATAGGTGTAATGTGAAGTGTCATGAAAAATGGTAATTGGACAAAATGATCCTTGTTATAATAGTGAGTTAAAAAATTACTTTATGGTAATCAGTAAGGGGAATAAATGGAATGAAAGAAAGGGAGAGCTGTTCAAATAATCAGATGTCTGAGAATGAGCAAAGTTGAGGATAGGGATTGATGAAGTTTCCATAGAACAGTTCTCCAGAGAACTATCCCAACACCAGATCTAGTGACATCTTTGACCCAAAGGCTCATATTGGGGCCTTTCTTAGGTCTGAGATGGTAAAACATTACCTCAAATAGCAGACTTTAAGACTGCCAATTAAAAAAAGAACTTATGTATCACAAGCTGTCTCCCCAAGGAAAGAGGCCATATTAGACCTCTGGAAACAACTGTGAGGCATGTTCCTTTCAAGGTACAGGTGAAACTGTATCTTTTGCCTCTTCCTATCACCAAAGGTCACTAATACTAGTATGAACTAAGAATGTAAGAAGCACCCTATATTTGAAGTCTGTTTATATGTGTGAGATGGGATAGATTTAGTTATAATTAATCTCCTAATCAAAATTTCTCTCTTGTTTACTCTCACTTATTCCCTATGGCTCTTGTTTTTAAGTGATCTATTGACACTCAGATATTAGGTAAGAAATTAAATTTCTGGGTAAAAGTGAGTTAACTGTGTAAAGTAGAATTTCCTGATTACATAATATGGAACTTGCTGATGTCTGTAGAGTCTTTCTCAGAAATTTTAAATAAAAATAATTATAACTGTTGTGTTATATGAAAGACAGTTCTACCTCAATGATAGCAAGTTAGATTAATTGACTCCTATTTTATTTAGTTTTTCACAAAGGAATTTGTGAGTTGGACATTGAAATAAAGATGTATGGGGTTGGAAAATAATAATGCTGAATTATCATAGATAGGTCATAGACTAGTCCCTTTTTACTCAAAAGGTAACTGATATCTGGAGAGGTAAGTGATGCTACTAAAGTATCTCGAGTTAGAAGCTTCCTCTTAGTTGCGTGTTCTTTTCACCCTTGCCTTTATTTTGTACTCTAGTAATGGCATATCTCAAAACTCAGTGTGTGTGTGTTTTATTTATTCCTACTGAGAACCAACTTTTAAGGGTTGCTTTTGATTACTTGATGGACTTCTATTACATTTTTAGTTATTTAAAAATAGTCATGGGATAACTCCCACATATGTATCCCTGTTTTAATTTTCTTATATTTGTGAAATAGGTTGAAAAATACATTAGTTATTAGCTTAGTTTGATATAAAGGATAATGATTTGGTTTCTAATTTTTCCTGATTTAAAGAACTGAGTAAAGTGAAATCACCTTTTCTGTGGGGGCTTTGGGCCTAAATTCTCACTTATATTAAAAATCTTGTCAAAATGACCATTGAAACAATTCTTTAGGAAGACACCAGTTTGAAAAAATGGTTAACTGATATAGTGTTTCTCAATTCGCACAGTCAGTTTTTCCTCTAGCTTTTAGAACAGGCTACATTTTTGGTGAGCTGGATCATAATCAGTCGGCTATGTGAGATACCATTTGACAGGTGACTAGGTCT